GGCGAGGGAGGGGATTCTGCCCCTCTGCCCCGCTCTGCTGAGACCCCCCGGGAGTCCTGCGTCCAGCTCTGGAGCCCTCAGCACAGGACAGAGCTGGGGCTGTGGGAGCGGGGCCGGAGGAGGCCCCAGCAATGATGTGAGGGCTGGAACCCCTCTGCTGGGAGGAAAGGCTGGGAGAGCTGGGGCTGCTCAGCCTGAAGAAGACTCCAGAGAGACCTTAGAGCAGCCTTTCACTACTGAAAGGGGGCTTATAGTAAAGATGGGACAGGCTTTTTAGCAGGGCCTGTTGCGATAGGGCAAGGAGTAATGGCTTTAAACTAAGGGACAGGAGATTTAGACTAGATGTCAGGAAGACTTTTTTTTACAGTGAGGGTGGTGAAACACTGGAACATGTTGCCCAACGACGTAGTGGAGGGCTCATCCCTAGAAACATTCAAGGCCAGGTTGGACCGAGCTCCGAGCACCCTGATCCAATTGAAGATGTCACTGCTCACTGCAGTGGGGTTGGGCTAGATGACCTCTGAAGGTCCCTTCCAATCCAAACCATTCTGTGATTCTACAATTCCATGACTCTACTGAAACACAGACAATTAGGTCGCTTCTGACTCCATGGATCAGAGTTCTGCAAATGCAGCTTTTCAGTATATAAACTCTTGGTATATGAGGCATTCTTAACAAGTCCTCTTGGCATTCTGGTATGTGCTCATATGGTTGCTGGTTGCTTATAGAATCCTTACATTTAAGTTAATTTCACTGAAATTTGTCTACAAGTATGGAATGATCTTTGTACAGTAATGGAGAGTTAAAAGCACGTTCAGATATCAGTTCATACAACTGTTTTGGGAAATTATGGTTCTTGCAGCATCAAGCTCAGTGCATTGACTGAAAATGGAATATAGGCGACTAGTTTACATTAGAATTCTACAACAGAAATAGACTAAGTGAATTTCCCCTGCCTAGCACACAATTCCCTTACAAAATTCAAATTGAAACCTCCAGTTCTTCCCAGCCATGAAGGACTGCTACCAAACCAATTTTGAGTTACAAATTTGAATCTTCAACTGAATCTTAACAAAATAATCTGCAGACTATTTTACCGTAGTCTATCTAGAATGTTATGGAAAAAAGCACAATTGAGGTCAGTTGACCAAATAAGTGATGCCATTGATCTTGAAGTATGAAGATACCACAACAATACAGCTTAATGGTATGTGCCAAACTCAACAAAAAAAATGCATATATTCACCCATATAGACAGACAGATTAATAGATACAGATAGACATTTGAAATCCTTGCCAAAATAAAGAGAATACAAATGAAAACCAGTATTTTTTTTCTTGGTATTTTGTGAGTAACTATTTAGTTAACGGTCACCTACACAGGAACTTCCCCTCGAAGTCTAACTAATTTTTCCAGTAATAGCAGCACAAAGCAGGAGCCAAGGAAGAACATGAAGAGGAAGAAGAAACACTGCTTTTGCAAAGACAATTTTTCTCTTGAAGCATCACGGAATGGTTGAAGTTGGAAGGGATTTCTGGAAGTCATCTGATCCAAACCCCCAACCCAAAAAAGGCCATGTACAGCTAGCTGCCCAGGACCACGCCTGGACAGCTTTTAAATACTGTCCACGATGGAGACTCCACAGCCTATTAGGGCAACCTGTTCTAACGCTCCATCACGCTCACAGTAAAAAACCAAACCAAAACAAAACAGTGTTTCCTGACTTTCAGACAAAACCTTCTGTGCTTCAGTTTTTGCCCACTGCCTCTTCTCCCACCACAGGGCATCACTGAAAACAGCCTGGCTCTGTTTTCCTTGCACCCTCCCTTCAGGTATTTATATACATTCATAAGCCTTCTCTTCTCTTGGATAAACAGTACCGGAATCAGAAAGTTGTATTACCTTTAATCAAATTACGGAAGAGTCAGGCTGATCATATTCCCCTCTATTATTGATGCCATGTTATTTACAGTAACTGGTAAACCTGACAGAAATTGCTATCAGTGACAATGAAAAACTAATTTTAGATATGTTTTGTAATTTACTTACCTCAAGGAGGTAATCTCCTAGATATTGCAAAGGGTAGCATCGAGCTTCAGAGAGAGATTTCTTGTTTTGCATAGGAAAAATTTTATTATTGATGAATACATGAGTTACATTGCGCTCTGCATTTTGAGATGAACATATGGTTGCTTTTCCAGCTTGAAGAACTCTAAATAAACATATTCGGAAAGATGTATTTACTGCTTTATATTAATACTGCCTGAAGCTATATTATCATTCACAAACTAGAAGCATGCAACCGCAAGAGCATAAAGGTTCTAGATGTATGACACTGCCCAACCTTCATTAAGAGCATAAAAGGGTGCTTAATAGCCTTCACAAAAAGAACGAACCCTCTTAAAAAGACATTGCTGTCTTCAAAACTAATTAAAATCAATGTACATCTCCTACAAATCTGACAAAAAAACCTTTACCTGTGCACTTTTTCAAAGATCAAATCTGGTGACAGCACCTCTAATTTATTGTATTATGTCCCCCACAATGACGATGGTCTTTCAACTAAGTTTTACAATAAATTAAGTCGTTTACCAAAAATGGGACACTGCTTTTCTGACGAAACATGGTATTTTCATAATGCAAGTACACTTTTTGACTTCATTTTGGAGTCATTTACAGCATTTGGTGCTGTCCAATATCATACACAGAAACCAGATTTGTCTGTCTTTGCGACATCATTACTTGTAAGAGTTTCCGCAGGGGCAATTTCCAGAGTTGTAGTGCTGCAACGATTCCTATCTTTTAGAAAAGATGCCAGACAAAAAAAAAGGGGGAAGAAATAAGGTCTCTTGACATGCTGGATATGTTTTATTTTTCAAAATCCAGGTACGTAAACAGAAAGTGATGCTGGTCTCACACACTTACCGATCCAACAGCTAGGCACTAAAGGCAGGAAAAGCATAGAAGGGGGAAAAAAAAGGCACAGTGTTGTAAATATTAGAGAAAAATCAATCTTTCCCCAAAGCTACAGTGGCATTTATGACTGAAAACAGTACTTGTTTGAGACAAAAAAGTATGTACCTTTCAGTGTTTTCTGACTGAGTACAAGGATCCCCATGTTGGCATACAGGAAATGGACTAGTCTAGAAAAAGAGACTCCTTCCACAAAACTGCCTGTTCACCTGTCTTGCTGCTGTAGTTCCTGTTAAAGGTTACTTCTATTGTGAACAAGAGGGGTATGCAAGACAGCATTTCAGTAGTGTTACCATAAAGATCTGCATAAGCAGTTTTTACAGGAAAAGAAACCGCATTTTTCACAAATGTAGCCGGAGGAGTGCATCCTTCTGCAAGACAGCATGTATGAACTCTTCCACCTAGCCAAGAAACTACCACACTTAGAACATCTTCAGCTGGCAAAATCAGAAGATGGCAATGTCAGCTACACGCCAGTTTGTCTCTAGGAGCTGCAGACAGGCGTTCTGCAATGCAGCATGCAGCCCTGCACCATTACCAAGCAGACAAACTGCACCTGCCTTCCTACATGTGCGTCTGTGACATGCCCAGACCCGAGAAGTACTGCTAGCTAACTGAGGTTGCAGCAGAGGAGGAGAGCAGGACAGTGTCTTCTCCCGCAATGAACGTGAAGCTCTGCAAGTGTCAAGGGACGTTTGCTTTTACTGTATCACAAGCAAACATTACTTAACATGCTCTGTTTGTGATTCAATGTAGTATTTAAACCACAGAATCCAAACATGTAGGAAGAGTATATACTCCCAGAATTCTTGCACTTCAGTTGTTTTCCTTTTCTCTGCTTTTCCTTTCTACTTTTGTCCTTTCCCTTCTGACTATGTGTATTTACACTGTATCAGAAACATCTGTTACAGTAGAAATTAGGTCTTCAGAGCTACAAGACGACATTGCATATATGTGACACAAAAAACAACAGGGTCAGTCGCAGCGTGGCCCAGGTCCACAAGACACAGTTCACAGCTGGCTCAGGTCACCCAGCCAAGCGAAGTAATGTGTCCTGTTCCAGCTACTGTTTGAATGCAACATCCACACAAAACAAATAATTACTCATCAAAAATGTAAGCCTATGTATCTTGACTCATTAGGAAAGTTTCTGTAAGCAGTTTACTTAAGATGCAAACGTATGAGAGTGCATGTTTTTTTTTGACACTACACTCAAAGAAGGCAGGAAAAGCGGTGACATTAAAGATTTAAAGTAATTTTATTATAAGAAGTATGGAAGTAAATGAATGAAAACAATTCAGTTTGAAGAGCTGGCAGTTGTTACAGACCAAATGAAGCGGAATGCAAGACCAACATGTGTTCAACCACACAGTAAGTTTTCCATCACTCATTATTTAAGCTTTAAGACGTATCCTCCTACCTTCTAATAGATGCCATTTGTTTATCACCTTCCTTAACAGAGAGGACAACTTTCCATTTGTGGAAGGCCCCTGGAGCACTAGAGTGTGTCAGTTCTTCGCGCCATCTTTTAGGTGCAGATTGCATTTGAGGTGAATAATGGGTGTCTCTTTCAATTTCATATCCCCATTCGTACGTTGTTTCATCAAGCCATCTGCCACTTTCGGCACTATTAATTATGTACTCCTTAGTTAGTATCCACTTTCCTAAAAAGCAAATGAACTGTCAACCACAAAAGATTTTTTGTGCAGACAAACGGCAATCAACTGAAGATCTAAGATAAAATTAACTTCAACCTTTCTTGTGCAAATAAAAGCTGGAATTACAAGTACCATTTTAAAAACTTCTTCCTACTACAAGAGTTCGCCTCTTCACACTTTAGAATCCGATATTTCACAATGCCACTGAAAAGGATCATTTTGTTTTCTCTTAACGATGAAGTACCTTCTCACCCCTCCTAGATAAAATACTTGTCTACCCCCTCTAAAATCTGCAAGTGGAATTTTTCAGCTTCCCAGATTTTGTTCTTATGAATTCCACGGAACTGTGGTTAACCCTTTATTTTTAATATCATTTGACACTTTTACAACTGTACTAAAACATACTAAAATGAAGAAATATTTTACCACCAATGTTTAAAAAGAGGAACGAAGGTTTTAGCATGTAAGCTGTTTCTTTTATATATTATTAATATTACTTGCACTGCGAGTTTAGCGAATACCAGTATTAGGGGGATAACAGTTTTAGACTTTTGTCTTTTCCACTTTCTTCTTTTCACACACTTTTCTCTCATCCCTTGGCTCCACCTCCTCCGCCTCTCCCCTTTCATCTTCCGTGTGCATGCTTTTGATACTGTATGTAATGATCTTCCCCTTTTCCTCTGTCTGTCTCTTCTTACAGGTTCAGGTCAAGAACCGTGGTTAGTACCCCGCTCCTGTATTGAAACACTACCTACAGAAGATACTGGAAGGGAAATTGACTTGAATCGTGTGAACCTAATTGGTTTCACAGAACAGCAGGGTTGACTGGCAAAACGTCTCAGTGCAGGAGCACAGATGGTACTTCTACGTAACCCAGCACAGGTACCAGTAGACTTATGACTGGAAAAGGTACGCCGTGCACAACCTGTATGTTAAAATCACTCTCATTTCACAGTTTCCATCTCAAAACTTCTGTCAGCTAGAAGTCCATGAAGACTGGCACCCTCATTAGTATTTCTGTTCAACTCTAGAGAGTTCTAAATGGGTTTAACGTGATCTTTTACACTTACTTCAGAAAAACTGCAGTAGGAATGAACACTCTCTCTCTGCCATCAAGGGCAAGAGCAGTGATTATGCAAAACCAGCACCTCTTCCTGGATTAAAATGTACTAGATGGTATGGGGGAAGATTTGCAGGTATGGAAACATGACAGAGTTCTGCATTGCCATGTGGATACTATACATACAGTTTTCACTCAGTTCAAGAAAACATCTGCAGACGTTTTAAATCCCGAAGAGAACCATTTACTTGAGGGTTTATAACAGTTAGAACAGAGGACTATGCCACAAATCTATCTGCATTTTAACACTGTTTCCCTCATGGAAACTTTTTGTCTATTTCCCTTTTGATTAGAGTGCAATAGAATTTTACCTTAGTACAAGGAATCATCCACATATACACCCATCCCCCCACCCCCAAATTCTAGCAGAGATACATGATTGAACATGCCTGCTAACACCGTATGTGAGTACAAATATGAAATCAAGAAATTCACCTATATCTTTAAATCCAAACCTATGTTTAGTTATTTCTGTCTATTGCCTCTTGAATTTAAGGTCATTTATCCTACAAAACTGCTTTAACACTTTGGTATTAAATGATACAGGGAAAATAAAGATCACATTTAACCAGTTAATACATCAGTATTGTGAACTCTTGTAAGTCCACAAGATTTTCTAAACTCATCACAAAATCCTTCCAGGTAGTCTGTCTGTAAAGTAATCTTAGAATAGAGAATTCTCATTCTAAACACATTTCCCAGTTGCTTACGTACGGGATTTCAGCATCAGGCCTTAGGTAAGAGCAAAGCAAAAGGACAGACCAGAAGCTTGTGTCAGAGTGGCAAAAGCCTGGAATTTTCTCTTGCTGCATAAACAGGAACTTACAGAAACCTTTACCAGTGAATGCTGTGTGTGAATTTGGTGGTAAAAACCCATGCTGACTACAGGTGTCCATACTCTCTCTGCCCCCTTTGCAGGCTATCTGTTTTTAAGCACCCATATCTTTCGGGTATTGACTTCATGATCTAACTACTACATAACAAAGCTTTCTGTTTGGAAACAGGTGCAGATCAAATAAAGGAAAGTGGCAGGAATATCACTTAGGAGAAAATCCAAACCAAAGAGAATTAAATCAGAACTTGAACATAACACTATGTTAAAAGTCAAGGTTAATGGAACAAGAAGAATGAGGGTTCCTAAGGCAGTTCATTCACAAAATGAAAACGGGTAACCAGAAACCTTTTAAGGGTCCCTTCCAGTCCCATGTAATCTTACAGCAAACCTTTTACTCACCAGCAGCACAAGCAGCTAAGAACTTCTCACTCTTGCATAGCTTCTTTGCTATAAGATGTGTACAATTTCTGTATTTCTAATGAAACAAAAACAAAACAACACACTCGTGTTAGCGGAGACAGTTTAACTTCCTTGGCTGCTTACACACCACTCTCAACCACGGCACGGCCCTTCATTTTACGGCTCGCATGTTTTCTTTCCGCTGTAACCACCACGTCCGCCACGGAGCCATACCTTATTATCTAAAAAAACACAGTCCAGTTTGAACAGCCATTTCAACAGTGCCTTCTTCTCTCGTTTCTCAAATCCAGTTAACTGGATTATCCGTTTCTGGCCGCCACTCGCCATCTGTTAAAGGAAAAACGGGCAACGAGGAGAACATCAGCACGCAGAGCACACACCACCAGACGCTGCCTGCCTGCTCTTACTGGCACTTCCTACTTGTTTTCCGACAGCAAGGGAAAACACACCGCCGGGCACCAACACGACCCGACGCCGGTACACCACACCTGAGCTGTCGCCGGCTGCCCCTGTCGCGACACCCGACAGGC